CCGGCCTCTTGGGGCTCCCCTGCCCGGGGGTCCCCTACCTGAGGGAGGAGGGCTCTCCTGGGGCTCCCCTGCCCAGAGGGCTCTCCTGGGGGGCCGTTGCGGAGCTGGCGCAGCCCGCGGACGGAGCTTCTGTCAGCCTCCCTTCTGCCAACACAGGTACGCTGTGCTTCCGCAGGTAAGCCCGTGTTGTGAAAGCTACAGTAACACCATAACGATGCCTGTTCGGCATCGAGCCGTGAAAGACGTTTGGACACTGTTCGCTAGGAGATAGACTAGGCTGAGCTTAATGCTGTAACAGCTCATAGCACTTTGATTTCTCTGGATGCATAGACTAGAGCCACCAAAGTTCAAAACCGTTTTGCTTAATATTATTTGATATGCAAACTAAGCAGCGCTTGCAACACATTAAAATCATCAATATTTTAAGCATAAACCGTTACTGGATTTCTGTCTCCAACATCCTGCCAGTTCTAATTAAAAGCCCCAAATTGCTCTTCCCTTGATTTATATGACTGAATACCAATTGCGTTTGTAATATGAGCGCTGACTCCAGTATGCACATGGCCTTTGCACCCTCATTTAGGCAAAGAAATAAGCCAGTCTAAAAAGCTACCCAGCCATCAGCTGCTCTGGCCATTGATACATAAGCAATGTCTAAACCTAACTCTGACACGCACCGGTACAGCTACCCTGCACTGCTGCTTGGGAGGGTCAGTGGAACTGTGTACTCTGCCTGATGTTCAGAAGGACACTACTGTTATTAATGGGACACTTCTTACTTAGAACTGGCTTTGCTTGTTTTTATGTTGGACGGTTGGACTTGATGATCTTACAGGTCTTTGCCAAGCTGAATGATTCTATGATTCTTTGTGTAATGTAGAAGTCTAGAGTAAAAGAACAGAGGATATGGGAAGAAGTCTATGACCTCGAGGCCTTTCAGGCAGATCAGTTATAAAGGAAGCAGGTGGGGAGGTATTTGTTCTGCTTTTTATTTTCTGGCATGTACCGTTGCCACCTAACTTTAGACACCTAGCAGAAGGCAATTGCCCTAAGTTCCCCTTCAAGGCAATGGACAGAGATAAGCTTTTCTTGATAAGCTCACTTAAGATCTGAATAGTTGTTTTGAGATGCTTTTTTTGTCTCCACTGATGGAAAGGTAGGATATAGGTAGACCAAGCAGGCTTTTCAATTAATATGGTTCAGTTACACTCCTAAAAGTGGTTGAGGGATTATCTTCATACAGACATTTGCATTCTTTCCATGGATAGAGGTATGGACTGTGTGGTGCAACTTCATTCATGGTAGCAAAAGTAAAGCAGTGAAAACATGCCTCAAAAAAGCCTTGGTTAACTTTTTACAGGTACTGTTTCTTATTATTTAATACCACATCTGTATACACCTGACAGTACAATTTTGATCTGGATTGGGCTTGAGCACACAGCTGTAGGTCTCCAGGGCAGAACAAAACAACATTGATGCTGAACTTATGCTAGCCATATACTGATTGAACCAATGGTGTTTTTACCCAGTATAGATAAAGTAAAAATGGTGTGAGGGGATGATATCAGACCTATAATAAAGTTTGCAAAAAAGTTTTTTCCATTTTAGGCTAATCTGAGCTGACAAAGTAAGTTTGTATTAAGTTCTTTGTGCTTTGTAGTTATATCACCTGCTATTAGATGCCCCAATGCTAGGTTTAATATATCACAATATATTATGTATTAAGATGCCATGGCCTTTTGAGTCATGGCTTATATTGCTTCTGTGTGTCAAAAATGAAGATTATTTTAAAATGCAGTTTAAAAAAGCTAGAACTGTGAAGGAAAACTGCTGTTAAATCCTAGCAGTGACTTGTTAAAAGAAAAAAATCTGTTGGCTGCAGGGCATTTAAATATAATATCTATATATGATGTCAACATGTATCTATTACTTAATGTTCAGTTATCAAGCAACAACTGAGACTGCTTGTACGTTAAAGATTTTTTTTTCCTCCGCACTCCTGTTCTCTGCATATTAAACTTCTGAAGTCGGTTCTGTCTATAAAAGATTCCTTTGCAGGCAGAGGAAGCAGGGACTCAACCAGTGTTCCCTTGGCTGCTTTTCTCTGGCCCTATTTGTAGCATTCTGTTAACACTGCAAATTAGTTGATCGCAAACACAAGCTTTACAAAGTCTTCTGACATTTGCCCTTAGAACAGAATTGCCCTAATAGACAAGCATAACTGGTAGACTCATTGAAAATTACTGAGTTTTGGAGATTGACTTTTGCCCTGGTCCTGCTG